AAAGATTTCAAATTAGAACAAGAAGAAACTTTGTTTATCAATAACAGAAAGGCGAATTTAATGATTTTATAGGCATCTTTTTCCTTGTAAAGTTTTTATTTTCTTTGCCTGAGAGGTCAACGTTTTAGATATCATATATCACTTAGCGAGACACTTGTCTGAGTAGTTGATTTTATCAGTCAAAGCAAGCCACGTTCTTATCGCCGATTTAATTACATGACCTTTTAGGTCAAGTTTATTTAAAGTCTCAATATATTTTGCATATTTTGAACTAGACGCTCTTATTAGACCGTGAGTTCGGCTGTTTTGGAAAAAAAAGTTAAGAAATATTTTTATCCATGTAATATCCTGTCTTTCTCAATTTTCACAAGCAGCTAGTCCGACTTCACGCTGCCAGAGCGTCTAGTTAGTCATCATTCCTGTTGTAATTTTTCCTTTTTATGCAGCAGTGAAAATAACATATTTGTGGTATCTCTAGGTAAGTAAAAGTTATTTTAAAACAAAATATGCTTTCAAAGACAATATGATAAACAGAATTTCAAAAACTCATACATAATTAATGAGCTACTAGGCCAATAGAATGACCCTATTTGGTCACATGCATGGACCTTTATATCTGATAAAACACTCCTTATTATAGTATTCTTTATATAAAGAATACTAATAAGGGTGACCTTTATCAGATATAAAGGTCCATGACCCTAGCAAAGGTCTCAGGTTTGAAACCTGATCATTGACCAATGCAGGATGTCAACCAATTTCAGTAAACAGCCAAGAGTGGTTCTATTTTACTTTATTTATGCGTATTCAATGTGGGATGACAAGAGTGCTTTGTAAAGTGATTCGCGCATGATCAGTTTGCCCCATTTATCTCTGAACATTTTGTATGGCAATTTCTCCAAGAATTTTAACGGATTTGAGTTTCAAATTAGTGTTGGAGTTTTTAAAGCCGTTTAAAACACTCGAGATCGTGTTTTATCAGGTATAAAGATTCTCACCTTCGGCTCGAATCTTTATACCTGATAAAACATGATCTCGAGTGTTTTAAACTATACATTATGTGGTCACTATGCTCACTCGAATATAAAATCTGTATCTCTGCTCACCCATGTAATATCCTCTATATATCACCAAAATCTGACATCACAACTGCTACCATCATTCACTACAAAACTTTGTAAAGTGTAAAAACTAAGCGTAATTAATGTTTTACCTGGTTTTGTGCATGTGGTGCACTGTATGCCATCATTTAAGACCTGTACATGGTGGTCGTGAATCACGGCATGAGTTACATCATCAGCTTTACTCATAGCAGTGTAGCCTACTGTTGCAGCAAGCTGTGGCAATTCTTGCTGGAATGCTGCCTGGACTTGTTGGAGTACTTCAGGAGATACTTCTACTGTTGTGGTTTCCTGATTTTCTGCAATAAGAATCACATGTACAGATTGGTCTCTTGTTGCATCAGATTTGTTAGTGTCATTGTTATTATTTATAAATAATTAACTTATCTGTCTAGACCTCTGTGAGATGTACCGCTACAATCTTTGCAAATAGCCTTATTTGGCTGCTATGCTGTCATTGTTAATGAACAGACCAAGAGCAAAGCAATGTAGAAGGCAAACAATAGTACTTTTACAACTATTATAGTCATTCAACATGTTGGTCAAAATAATAATATAATATATATAATATATGTGTAGGACTGGGCCTAGCCCGTATATTCTCAAGGGATCATGGGGTGGGATATAAAATGAAGAGCCATGTGTTCCGGGCCCGGGGGGGGGTACTCCCATATATTTGCTATACGGGGACGTGCCGCTGGCCAGGGTATGGTTTTTGGCCTTGCTGTCTTAAACAGGGTATACATTTCACCCRAAATTGTCTTAAACAGGCTCTACAATTTAGATAAAAGAGACCGATATAATTTTTTTGTGTGTCTTGGACAGGGTAATATTTTCACAACACCGTAGAAATAGTAGAAATACCGTTTCACTGTCCCAGGATTAACGTGTTATCAAAAACTTCTTATTGTCTTTGATGGATGTCAGTATAATTGCAGTTTTGATGGTTGYGGCGTAGATAGCTATTCCTTATTTTTCCGATTTGTCTTGAAAGGGTATGGATTTTTACTTTTTAGTGTCTTAAACAGGGTCAGGGATTTAGACCGCTGGCGGCACGTACCTATCCAAAACGGGGTCGAGTACCCCCCCCCGGGGTTCCGGGGCAGAGTTGTAGTTCTACTACACTATCAGCTGTAGAGTTACTAGGGGAAACCTAAGAATGTCCCTTTGGTGAACCTTCCTGATTAAGTATTTAGTATTTGTCAGAAACTCTTGTAAAAAAACTCAGAAACTCAGCTAAAGCTTGCAATAAATATGAAGTGAACACAACTACGTTTACATATGCATTCTCTAAAATAAAATTGTTAAATGCTCCTTTGACAAAACTAAGCCTTTAGTTAAGACAGGACCTTAGCCTGACAATTATAATAAATAAAACAGAGAAGAAACCAGCCATTGCAGCTGCATATTGTACCTTGTGTAGAAGTGGTTTCTACATCACAATGATGTCCAACAACTACTGTAGCATCAATGGTTTCGCAGGCACTTATCTGTTGGATTTGGGACATTTGGGACAGCACGTTAGCTGCTGTTGCTTCTTCTTCACTAGACATGTTTGCTGGCTGGTTCACCTTGAAGATTACATACATTTACAATGTGTTATCTGGCATGTGATGTATTTCATTTGGTAAACTACTGGAGAGAGATCATTGTTTTGTATTTTTCTTATTTCGTTTCAGTTCAGTTTCAGTAAACCCAGTTTTAATTTTAAGATTTGTTCTTAATTTGAGGATTTGAAACTATTTCTAATTTGCATGATTGCTACCAAGACCATTCTACTACCCAGAGTTCCACAGTCTTCCACTTTAAATTCACTTACCGTATTTACTCGAATAGACGCTGCGGCGTTTATTTCATTTTTCACAGTCAAGGTGCAGCGTTTATTCGAGGGCRGCGTCTATTCGGGGGCGGCGCTTATTGAAAAACACTTTATTCAGTACTAAATACCGTACTTTATATTGTATATTTTTAGTWACAAACAGTAATGATTCTCAATATTATATAAATGTCGTGTTCATTTTGTCGATTCAATTTGTGATAATGTCCTCCTCGTGGTCGGAATCTAACAGCTGCTGAGAGCAAAAAAAGTAGTCACTTTGAAATAAAAAAATTGCTGGTATCATTATTTTTGCACCCAGATGCRGCGTCTATTCGAGTAAATACGGTATTAGGATTTCATACTATGTAAAAAAATTTGATTTTACATTATTAAATTCATGAATCATTCATAAAGTGAATACAATGGAAAATCGTTGCCATTTATCATTTATCTGTTTACATACTGATGCAGCTTACACTAGTTTACCGCTAGTTCCCAACATTTTCACATAAAGACAACTGAGATTCACACTTTTATTCAGATGCCATCTCTTGCAGCTGTCATAATTTTCTGGTGACACATTTTTGAGTATTGGGGAGGCACACTTTCATTACAACTGCCATTCAAAAACTCATACATAATTAATGAGTTATTAGGCCAATAAAATGAGCTTATTTGGTCACATGCATGGACATTATATCTGATAAAACACGATCCTTATTAGTATTCTTTATTCAAAGAATACATTAATAAGGGTGACCTTTACCAAATATAAAGGTCCATGACCCTTACAAAGATCTCAAGTTTGATACCTGATCATTGACCAATGCAGGATGTCAACTGATTGAAKTAAAACAGCCACCAGTGCTTCTATTTTACTTAAATGCATATTCAATGTGGGATGATTTTTGCTTATCTACTACTGAAAATTAAGTGGTTTTCATGGTTATACAACATATGTAATTATCAAAAGTAGAATTTGTCAAATGTCATTCAGACAGTAAAAACCAAATAGAACTTATTCTGCAGGTTTTACGAAAGCAATCTTTAAATACAAAATATATAAGTTTTGATTCATTTAACCATGACTTCCTTTTAAATTACTAATGTCATATATTTTATTTTTTATTTACAGTGACAGTTATTTTTTATATTACAGCCTTTTGCAAAAATTATGAGAATTGTCTAAATATCTAAATATCATAATATCCATATCCATATATTGTCCGGAACACGCGGGTTTGCTAGAATAATTCATTGTTGACATCGAGAAAATGTTCAGAACTACGGATAAGTCTGTCGCCAAAAAAAA